CGTTGACAGGCAGGGCGATGTAGCCACGCGTGAACCGTCCAGCCACACCGGGAGCCTGGAAGTACGGTGCGCCGACAGCGAACTTGTGGATGACGGGTTCCAGGTCGCGTCCCGTGTCATCCTTGCGCTGCTCGTGGACCTCGAGCTTCCACCACGGCCGACGTAACTTGAGCGTATGTCTGAACAATTCACGCACGTAGTCGTGCGGATCATCCGTATTGACGTTTCTGGCCCGTTCCTTCATCTCCTTGTAGAGCGGGTCCGTCGATAGGATTCGCGTGGCGGTAGGGTCATGTCCACGGTCGACAGCCGACAGACGCGAGTACCCGTACAGAAAATTGACCAGGGGGCTGTTCTTGGTCTTGTACTCGAACTTATGGGTCGCAAACACCCCCGAGTGGTCGAACCGCGCGATACGGGCGTAATCGCCGAGGAAGATCACCATGAAGAAGAACATCCGCTGCTGACGTTGGAAGACGAGCTCGGCGTACGACAGGATCTGGCCGAGCACATCCTGGCGCTTGTCCCCGACCGGCTCGCCGCCCCGCTCCTCATCGAAGGGATCCTGTTCCGTGCTGCTTGTCTTGCACTCCATCGGCAGCTCCAGGTAAGACCAATCCACGCCCGGGTAGGTCGCATTATTCTCAGCCTCTGGCACGTTGTCGGCTGGATACATGCCCATGTCGACGGATTGTTTCGTGTGCTCGGTCTTGTCAGGCTTGTGGGGATGGGCGACGAACTTGAAGCCGGGGCAGATGTGGGCATTGTCCAGCGCCTTAGGCTGTAACCACGACATCAGTGAGACGGCTCTAAATCGACGACGGACAATGAGGACGATACTGACCAGCGATTCGTACATATCTAACTCCGATGAAGGCTTCTTCAAGCCATCAAACCTGTTGTACTTGGTTGCAGACCTGGGTTTCTTCATCGAAGGGAGGAAGCGGTCGAAAAAGTCGGCATGTGGGATGAGGGTGATTTTGCCGTGCATGTTAAAACGCAGTTCGTTGCGGTGACGCTCCAAGCTCTCTTTGAGATTCGTGTGTATCGGATTGCCTATGAGCGGTTTATTGGGGGAATCGACGGTCTTCGTACCTTCGGAGAATCGGACCTGGGAAGGCATCGTGGTTAGGATGATCGAGGCAGGGAGGAGGCGGTCACGAGCGATAAGGTGTTCGATGAAGTGTGCAGAACGTCAAGTACGTGGTCAGGGATGTAGAGGTCGAGTATATGAGCGGATGGGAGGCGGTGGTTGGGAAATTGAACTGGGAGAAAGGACGACATACCGGTTCGACCTTTTATTTGTCGGAGTGATATCTGAGTATCAATCACGGAGCACGGAGCAGTAGGTAATACTCGGTAAAGCGCAACGGCTGGTATGTCCGAATGAGGAAGCTGGCCGATGCACAATGGGGGGCACAGTGGTGGATGAGGAAAGCAAGTTGGAAATGATAGGCGCTGGATATGGCTCCGTCTTATGAGCGGCTAAGTAGAAAGCGGCTTCCTTTGTTGGCGGCTCCTTTGACCAAGACCCAGTCACCTCTCGAAAGCAATGGTAACACGTTATGTATGCTCTCAGTGTGGTATATCTGAAAGCAAGAAGCACGTCCGGTCATTGGATTGCCGTCGAGGAAACTGAGCAATTGCTGGCACGTGGCTGTGCTGTGGGAAAACTCGATCCTAGTAGCATTCCATATTAGGCTTGAGCTTGAACAGAGAACAGTTCGGACCGTAAGTCCAGGTTACTTACACCCAAAATCACCATTAGTATCGCGTGCATAAACTGTTCTTTATGTAAAAACTATGCAAGAATTCTTGGGTACACCAGCTTATGGCTGCAAACTACCTATCATATCATGTCAATCTCAGGATGTTTGAAATCAGTCGCGGCAGTATCGCGGTGTCGAGTCTCTCTGGCCACCACCGTGAGTCGGTCGTCAACCCACGGTACAACATTCTTCGTGCATGAGTACTAGCCGCCCACATACGTGGTTGACTCGCCATAAGCCAAGCTGGTCTGCTAACACACGAGCGGATTACTGCTGGTTTCGGACCAGAAGGTCCCCCTTGCCGAGCTTGCACATGCATGACGAGATAGTAACTATGTGCCTGAGATCGGAGTGGCCGGTACGACCTTCGAATAGTCACCCTCTCTTCTAGGAAACTCTTATTATGTGCTTTTTGAGATATGCCGACGTTTGCGAACGCGACACGTCGGCCCTCATACTAGATCTGATCATCGTAGCTTTGGTGTGCATCGGCTAGTACATGGTATACGTACTCGTACAACGTCCACATTGCGGCGAGTGGGTCTGCCACTGAGGATGTATGTGACAACTTACCCGTGCGCTTGCATTACGGCAGGGGCCGTCTGCTCTACTCTAGAGTCTTCAAGTCTAAGCAGAGGTCCGGTCATTGACTTTCCGATAGAACGGTAATCTCCTAGACCCACTTCGTGAGGGTCTTGTGAACAGAATAGTCGTACACATACACCATAGTTGTACTCATACACCTCCTAGTCCTGCAATGGTGTTCAGCCCGCGTCCACTGGAAGATGTATGAACTGCATGTACACAAACCGTTCCCGGAACAAGCTTTCGCTGTTTCCGCACTTCGCCAAAACCTTCTCGCCCTCTGGAGATGTATTGCGGAAGCGCCTGGCGAAGACGAACGACTGTGTGGCCCTAAGTTCTTCGACAATCTGTACTTGTCTTCTAGAATAATGCACCAGACGTGGGGTACGCTGGTGAAGAGCAGCGCACACGGGCGTGATCACCTGGATAGACCACAACGGATTGGCGTCCCGACGGACGCGAAAGCATGGACGGTCTCGCCTGAGGCCAGTAAGCTAGAACTGCGAACAAGACGTCAGATATAGCAAATTATAGCGAAGAGAGCTGACATGTGCTGAAATTGACCGATCTGTTGCATTGAGCACCGGATCGTTGACCTCTCTGACTCCGATATCACCGTCGTTGACAGCAGCAGCAGTCCGAGTGTGCCCGTCAAGAGTATGGTCACCGGCTGCATCGCCTTTGTCGTCAGTAACTGCATCCTGGTCTGACGTCTGTGCTTTCCCCTGCAGCAAATTCGACGACCTCCGTCGATACAACGCCAAGAGGCATGTCCGCCGGTCCAGCAGTAGGCATCAGCAGATCCCCCGTTCACGCTGACGCTAACGGAGTTCATATTCACGAGGGTGAACGCATGCACGATGTTGTACCTAAGGCTGTCGTCCTCGACGTCCGGGATTACAGCGGTCGCGACGGGCCCTATAACGCCGGTTTCTGGAGGTATCTGCGGATCGGTCCAGAGGGTGTCCCAGCGCACTGATGCACCGCCGGACACTTCGAGACTCGTGGGACATGCGGGACCGGTGAACAGTGGGTAACGACGCACTAGTTCGGACGAGGACGACTTGGGCTCGATCCCAGACGGTCGGACGGGTCGAGCACTGGTGGGAGGTTCCGGTGAGCAACGAGCACCGGGTGGTCAAGTCCGGGGAAGCCGTACCACCAAGTCTTTGGCGACGTCGTAGAAACCATCGGGACAGGTGTAGTTGAGCGCCTCGACCTTGCGGAAACTTTACAAAGGGTTGTTTGCTGCGAAGGCTTGGGCGCCTGCGATCATGAAGTCCGTTTGAGCAGCCGATGGCCCATGTATCGGAACTAGTGGGAGAGCGGTCCAGGTAGATGGCCTCAAAATACAACTTTGACTCACCTCCTGCTAGTTGTCTTCCAGGCTCGATTGAGGCGCTCGGGTGAGACGTACGCTGCACTCCCTATGAAGGTACTAGCCCGACGTGCATGGAGACACGTAGATATCGCAGGTGGCCGCCCTTGAACGGATACGGAGGCCATACTCACACAGGTCGCCGTCAGGCGATAGACATACTGAACCGAAGTCCTTCAGTTTGATCCTGGGCTCGCTATCCAACCGCATGTTCTCTGGCTTCAAGTCCCTATGCACTATACCCATGCTGCACACCCAGAGCACGGCGTCGACAGTCTGCGCGGTATGCCATCGCGTACACCGTGGGGAGAGCGAGCTCTAGTACGAAGTCTTAACGTGTACGCTTAAGCGAGTCATTGGCATTATGGGTAACCAAGCTCACCGTGGAGGAAGATATCATCCTGCAAAGCAGCGTGCATCCCCACAATCCCAGGATGTGTCCCTGACAGCTTCACCAAGGCGTCCTTCTTCATAGTCGCGTACCCGACCTTCTTCAGTTGCAGCTTGCTGAGTTTCTTGACGACGTATGATTTGCCCGTTGCGACATGGATGACCTCCATTACCTGAACGCTACTTAGAATACTACATATCTGAACATAAACATGAATTGACGGCTTACTGTCTACCGCTTCCCGGCTCCTCCTTTGATGTGACCTGCAACGGGTGAGTCATCTTCAAGGGCTTAGATGGACAGCGAGACCATTGACCGCGACCACTGGAGCGGTGCCTGAAGGGCTCTGGCTTCCTACGTCGTCCTTGGAAACGTCCCGGAATTTCACCCAATGCCCATGCACGCGGCTTGTTTTCGTTCGTAGCACGCGAGCTGAGACGAGGTGAAGAGTCGCTCATAGCGGGGAGGCGAGAGCAAAAGATCGCAGTGGGCCATGTTCAAGATGCAGGCAGGCCGTCACTGGCAGCGCTCCCATCTGTCAAGTGCTAGTTGGGTTGGGGTCAGCCACCGCAACGTTCTAGGAGTCTGGCGTCGTCATTACCGTAGCCAGTACTGATGATGATCCATACTCGTCGTCGAGGAGAGTGGCAGCAAGGAGAAATGCGACGACAACGGCGGCCGCCAGCGCGCGCGATCGGACTGGGAATCTAGTGTTGCCGCCAAGCCGGGCCGGCTTATCCAGCTAGCTCAGCTTGTCAACTAGACGCCCAGCTTGTTGCAAGAAGCTAAGCTAAGCCGAAACGCCTAGAAACGAGCTGATCGTCAGCTCGTTTTCAAGCCAGCTCGCGGGCTAGCTCCATTGATGATGTCATAATTACCAAAGTTGGTATCTCGTAGGACCGGGAGGTCCCGGGACAGCCGCGACTTCAATTACTTCGAGATGCTTGGCTGCCATGGTATGGCCTGGTAATTCCTGGATGGATGTGTTGACTCCTCACGAGTCATGCCTTGAGCACAGCGGTAATCCTCATAATATCAAAGGCAGCAGTCACCCTCGGCACAGAACAGCCTGGGAATGTGCGCTACAATGCTGCTGGCGAG